AAGCTAAAGTGCTCTGGGACTTCAGAATTCAAACAGACAAACACCTGCCACATAACACGGTGCAAAGAACTCTCAGTATGTTTGCATAGCATCAAGAAAAAAAGAATAATAAAAAAAAATCGTAATAACGTTACACTAAAACTATGCAGTCAGAGGAGGAGAATTGGAGGAAGAATAATACTGCAGCTATTGACTAACATTCATTTTTAAAAGGAGAAGCTATTATCTAGCATATATTCACATTTAACAGAGTATTTTCAGTCACGTTTTAGCAGTCATATCTTATCATGCAATGTCAATCAGTATGTCATACTGATTATAGCTTATATCCTACAACAATAACTTTAACACCATCAAACAACATCTGCCTAGCCCAGGTCCTTGGGAAGGACTCGATAGGTGGATAAAAATGACAGATCCAGTCTAAATATCTGGCTGACTGTGCAACTAACAATAAATCCAGTCTAAACATCTGGCTGACTATGCAACCAACAACAACAACAATAAGGCTCTTTATGCAGACATGCTGGTCTCATCAGCTGTCTCCCATTTTTCTTTCTGTTTAAGCCTTAATTATTTCATTTTTTATATTTTCCCAACCTTTGTGAACTGTTTTTCTCTTTAGGATTTCCATCTATGGAATCCTTCCTGATTTTTTCTCTTAGCTTACTGAAGTCAACTCTCTTGAAATCTAGAACACTAATCTGTCTACCTTCAAGTCTCCCTGCTTGCAGTATGGTAAATTCTAGGATTGCATGGTCACTTTCTTCCAAGGTTCCGACAACATCTACTTCTCAACCATTTCTTCCCTGTTAATAAGTATTAAGTCCAGTATGACTGATCCCCCTAGTTGCTTCCTGCACTTTTGGACAATGAAGTCTGCAAGGCATATCAAGAACCTGTTGGATCTCCACTTGCTGCAGAGTTTGATTCCCAGTTGATATTGGGGTAATTGAAATCCTCCATTACTATGGTAAAGTGTTTTCTGGATACCTCGGCCATCTGATTTGCAAAGATTTCACCTATATATCCTGCTTGGTTGGGTGGCCTAAAGTACATACCCATAACAGTATCATTATTGTTTCTTTTTCTCTTTAAATTCACTCAGGCACTTTCGGTAAAGTTTTCACACTTGGTGCCATGAATTTCCACACAAGTGTATTCATTCTCTGTTCTAATGCAACTCCCACCCTTTCTCTTTTGTTGGGTCTCTTTGTTCTGAACAAATGATATCCTTGCAGTACTATATTTGAATCTTGAGTTCCATCCCACCAGGTTTCAGTAATACAAACAACGTCATATCGGTCTCCCTTCCTTTTCAGATGACCTGAGCAAGATGTCTTCCAAACACATTCTTTTCCTCTTTGTGTTCATCTCTCACCAAAAGCCCTTCTTATAGATAGTGTAGACCATGGTACAGGAATCCAACATTTTCTCAACATCACCATCCCATGAGCTAGCAGTTCACTCCAAAGTTCTCTGTTTCTTCCTCAGGCCATGACCTTCAGTTGGAAATATAGACAAAAACACCACCTTGTATCAAACTCTTTTGCCTCCTGCATTGGTCCTCATAGCCCTTCAGTATTCTTTCCAAGCTCTTTCTAGCAGTGTCATTTGTTTCAATGCGAAATAAAATAAAGGGATAGCAATCAGTAGTTTTGATTAGTTGAGTCATCTTCTCCATTACATCACAGATCTTCATGCCTGGAAAACAACATACTTCTCTTGATATCACATCTGACCTTCAGATTGCTGACTCCATTCCTCTCAGCAGCAAGTCACCCATCACCACCACATAGCTTTTCCTCCTTGGATTCCTCACCTCTAAGGAAGCCTGGACTTCTCTCCTTCCTGCCCCTGGAATGCTGGATGAGAACTGTTCTCTAGAAGTCTATGACTCACTCTTCAGGGAGAGGGCCTATAATTGATTGCACAGCTCTAGCAAGAATCTCTCGGTTCTCTTGGTCCTCCAGGTCAAAAGCTGCTAGCCTTCCTCCTATGGGTGTCCCCTTTTCTTTGTAGCAGTCTCTTCTTTCCTGTGATCATTTTGCAAACATCCTGCTGCCTTGTCCAGAAACTTCTCATCTTCCCTGATGAATCTCAGAGTTGCCAGATACAGTATGCCTCCAGATCCTCCACTTTCTCCTCTAGCAACACAATGAGTTTACACTTTGTGCAGGTCGTCCCAGTACTTGTCTCATTGCCTATGTCTCTAATCTTCTGAAGACTGTTACCTAGGCTTTCCTGAAAAAAAAAAACAGAAAAAAGGGAAAGCTAATTAATTTGTTTTCACATGCCTTTAGGAATGCAGGTTACTAGTTTGAGTTGATAAAACAAAGTCCAACTTCTCTACTGCTTGTGATGACCATCCACTTGCTTCCCAGAATACCGTAGGAGTATGTAAACGATCCCAATGGGATCTCAGGCTGCTAGCTTGAGTTTATGAAACAGTATGGAATAGTGGGAATACAATATGAAATCATGGATTTAAATCACAGGAAGGGAGGTTCTAATGAACAATTTTACAGTGTAATAATTTATACATAGTAACTAAGTTACTATTCTTATTCCTATGAACACAGCTTCCATTGCAGATGTGGTGGCACATGAGAATGACAAAGAGAATAATGAAGGGAAAGAGTACAAAGAAATAGATCCTGCCTCCCCAAAGAAATGTGATACTATCATAATCTCTGGTCGTCGAGAGAAATGTGAGGCAGCAAAAGAGGCCCTCCAGGTAAGTGAGATTGGATATCTGTATTATTTTAGAGGCCTACTATGTCTAAACAGAGGGGCATAATCAGCTTTGCTTACAGGCACTGTAAAGTGATCATCATATTAAATCTCAAGGGGCTATTAATTGTGCAAGATCTAGTGTCTTCTAGAGACACTGCTTTATTGACAGCATGTAGAGCGCATTAACGACTTGCAGAAACAGAGTAGTGTAGTAAATGAAAAATGTAGTGAAATGACTTCTAATGAGTTGTGACTTACATTATGGAATATAAGCATTTAATATCCCAGATGCCCATGTTTTTTTCAGAATTTATTTGATGTTTTCTGGTTTGAATTAAACAGCAGGGATCAGGCAAACTGATCTGTTGTGAAGGTCAGGCCAGAATCTCAGATATGCATAGGCTGCTTGCTAGACATGGAAACAATGGTTTCATCGGGAGAGATATTCTTTCATGTAGGCACAGAGATACTCCCAAACTGTAAACTAGAGAGAGAAACTTTGAGTGGTTTTAAAACAAAAAAATTCCAAAAGATGCAAAAGAATAATATGTGTATCAGTATTGAGCAAGAAGTGAGGTAGGAGCAGTTTCCTCCAGCTTCTGATTAAAGTAAACTTTCTAGAGAAAAGGAATTTCTAGATAAATCGAAGCAGAAGGAATAGCTGTTTCAAAAGTCTTACCTTGTAAAACTAGGTGAATGTCTATCTAGAAAATACATTAGGATTCTTTGTTTTCTATTGTCTCTATATTGCTAAGTATATTTCTGGGTGAGTATAGGAAGTTTCCTTTCCTTTCCTTTCCTTTCCTTTCCTTTCCTTTCCTTTCCTTTCCTTTCCTTTCCTTTCCTTTCCTTTCCTTT